AATCACTTGCTAGACAATTCTTTGCCATAAGAAAAGAAACATAACAGACAGTATCATAAAAGAACACATCTGTAAACAAGAGCAGAAACATACAGTATTAAGTAACACAGATGGGCCTCTAAGGCCCACTAAGTGCACTGAAGGGTTAAGAAAGTAATTGCTCCACATAGGAGCAAGAAAAGATCACCTTTTTGGAAACAGGGACACGTAGAACAAGGGTTTTTTGAAAAATCTGCATTTTGTTCTGCAGCATAACAAATTTTCTCTTCAAAAAAGTGATGGGAAAGTAAATGTACAAGTTCGGAAAAAAAGACGAGAACAATTAGTTATTTTATATTACTCTAAAAATGTACTATTTGAGTTCGGTGACTGGTAATGTTCATGTATAGTATTAGGTGTATTTAAATGCCTCTCTGTTTTCATGTGAAGATCTTGTGTAGGAAAGAGAAAAATTCATAAAAAAATTAGATTATTTTTAAGGACAAATTTTTGAGAGTGCATAGTAGATTCAATCTTGTATTTTCCTATATGAAACAAACCTTACCAGTCTTTGGCTAGATGAATTTTCTTCATGTTTGATGGCATTTTCTACTATGGATTTTATTAAATTTCATGTCAAGTACTAATTTAACAAGACTGTAATTCCTCCTTTTATATCTGTGCATTCTTCAATTTTACTTCCTTAATTTACTTGCTTTCTGTTTCAGGGGTGACACAACCATGGTTGTAAGTGTTTGCGTAGGAGTACATGTTGGAGCATGGATGAATTACCAATTAGGAATTTTGCAGGAGTCATCTCTTACTCCACCATATGCTATTATCTGGCCTTCTTATCCTATGATGGGTCTTGGGGCTCTCAGAACAGTTATTGGATTTTGCTGCATAATAGCAACCAGAGCATTGTGCAAATCAGCTTCATATGCTACTATATGTGCTCTTCTGAGACTAAATTCACAAGAAATCAAAAAATCACAAAATACTATTGAAAATACACAAAAAATTACTGTGGAACTAAGTTATAAGTTCATAACATATGTTTTAATGGGCTTTAACACAGTGTATCTGCTTCCTAATGTATTTCGATTAATAGGAATCGAACGACCAACATTTTATACAGAAATTTAATTGTTGTTACTATATTATTGACAAAACTATAAGTGTGTCTAATGATATGAAGTAATTTAATGCTTTTCAAAATGTTTTTTCAAAAACAAATAATAGTGATTTAGGGTGGTAACAAATGAGTACAAAGTATTCTGATACAGTATTCCACGTTTTGATTTTTTGACACCTGCAATTTAATAGTATAATATTGTGAGTAAATTATACCAAAGTATTCAAAAAACAACATTCACTAGATCAGTCTGTGAATATATTAATGCATTGTTGAAAAACCTTGTGAGAACGCTTACTACAGTTAGGTTGCAATATACTTCAGTAAGCTATACTTCTTTTTATGCTATTAAAGTTATCTTTATTTATGCTCATTTTAGCTATTCACCAAAGAGTACAGACTTTCAACCTGTATAAACAAAATTTTGATCTTGTTGAAATTTAAATGAAAGTCACTTGTTTTCATCTTCGTGTACATTAAAATTTAGATGGAACATAGTAATTTTCTCAGTTGTATATTATTTTATATTGTTCAATTAGCTACTTAAATTCAAGTAGAGCAAAGATGTATGTTCTTCCAATGGTATCTTGTCTTTTTTCTTATGATTGTAATGGAATTTTATGATCAATTTCAGCAAATGGTGAGAATTTAGAAGACTGCATTGTAGTTTCCTTTTTGTGTTTAAATTTTAGTTGCATACATATAATATATTTTGTTCAGTATACTCCCTCTTGTAAATACTCTTCAAATATTTTTGTTAAACTTCTGATTTATAAATGATTATTTATTATGTCATTAATTTTAGTTAGCTTGTGAAGACTTAAGTTTGGAGAATGAACGTTTTCATTTTTTAATGTAATAGTTGAAAATTGCTTGAAATTGTAACACCTCAAATTTTTGATTCTGCAAGTTGACTAAAAAAACATGATTTGACTGTATTTTGGATAAATATACTATAAAATGTTATATAATTATAAATTATAATCTGGTTATTATTGTGTTGATAAATATTTGTAATATATTGCTATCTAATATTTTTACAAGAAATTGCTATTCAAATAAATATTTTTGTAGATTTTCATCAAATCAATAACATGTTACTTTGTTTAATATTATTTTAAAAATTACTGCTAGGCTTGCTTCTTTGAATGATTGTTTTATTTTTTGCTTCTGTTTTTTAGCAATAGAATAATGTATTTATTGCATAAATCTTATTCATAATTTGATATTTGACATTCTTTTATTACATATAGTCTCTACAGTTCACTACGTTTCCCGTCCAATACATCTGGTAATCTAACCATTCTTTGGTCTATTCATGAAATATTTACTTTGAGTACATTTGAGAGAGAATGATGTTTATATCCATGCTGAAGCTCACTGTATGTTCTTGATTTACAGAATGTGTTCTATGAATATATATGACTGTGTATTTGAATACACACATACATAAATATACAGTACCCTTATTGTACATTTACTTTTGTGAAATATGTGTATTAATAAACAGTGATTTGTTCTGGTAGCTGTGCTGGTAGGTGTGGTTCTTCATTTTCAAAATCCAATCCAGAACTTCTTTCTTAAAATAGTATTCTCTGCTTCAAAATACTTTGGATTATAGAGACTATTGTACTTACTTAATTTGGTGTATTCTTAAGGTGATAATTATAAATTTCAATTTTTATAAGCTGTTGTGTAGTACTAGAAGATGAAAGCATTTTTATTAAAAAGCGAATAAATTCTTCAGTCGAGCACCTTGTCTCTAATTTAGAGAAAATACCCATTTCTTATCATATTATTGGCCTTGTGTAGGACAAGTTATGAAAATATCAATTCTGGAGGAAAAGATGTTGATAATTTCTATTATATTTTCATAAAAAGATTGTTTTCATCTCGATATAAACATAGATACTAATACGTCTGCAGTAGTAGCATATGGACTCCCATTCATCACAAATCTGTTTTTAATTTTCCTTTGAATGTCTTTGACCTTAAGAATCATGTTATTTCAGTGCCTTCCTACCAACAGTATTAAACAATTCTTTAGTTTCGGTTTGATCTGTATAATGATGTTGGAATTACTAGCAATTGTGGACTCCCAGTCCAGTACAACAACTGGCATTACATTATTTGCTCAGAATGTTTACATGAAGAAAAAACTGTTATGGAGGAAAGTGAAGTAGTTTCCTTTTATATTCAGATTTATTTGTCCTATCTATTTTGCCTTTATCTACTTTTGGCTAAACTCAGACTTACTGTCTGTCCCAACTACTGATATTTGAAAATATGGCACAACTACTGTAGGATAAATGCAAATGAGTACTTGCCCCAAAAGGGAAATATATCATTTCCCTTGTCCCAAATCTTTGTGAGGTAAGTAAAGCAGAAGTAGAGATAGTATTAATGAGGCAGCTGTAAAATGTTTCGAGGACCAGAATTCTCACATATTACAGGAATAAGTTTTTTGGTTCAAATGTTGAATCTAATTCTGAGAACAGGAGTTTTTCTTCCTCTGTGTCTTCAGTAACTCGACAGAACCATTGGTGAAAGCAAGTGATGTTGATAGTGGTTTCAACTAATAAAAATGAACTGGTTCTTTGAGATGCTTTTATTTAGTTGTGGAAAATGGACTGTGTTTATCTGCAGAAAATATGTAATACAAGTGAAAAGTTTCAATTGTTTTAATTAAGATGGTGAATTTCTGAATAGGATACCACTGTAATTGTAAAGTGAGCAGGCTGAGCTCTCCTGAAAAAGACTGAAGAAGATAGAACATTTGTCGGGGATCTCTAGATTTCAGAAATTGATGGTGAGATTTGGTAAACATGTTATTATAACTATTAGAGGTAAAGTTCGTCTTTCATATTAAATAGATTAAATGTATGGGTTGTATTTCAAAATTTTTCTGTGGGTCTGTTCAAGAAAATTTAAAATGAATGTTTACTAACTGGACCGTGCAAACATTTAACACTTTGGAAATTGCTTGAAAACTGAAAATAGCTTCATAGTGGATTTCAATCTTAGGACAGAACCTGAAATGTACATTAAAGCATTGTATACCCATCATAATGGGGGGTATTAACACATCAATTTAATTTTACCATAGGTTTCTTGTTTCTCACCACCCTGCTTCAGAAAAGCTAAATCTTAACCCAATTCTTTGCTTCATCTGGTTCCCACATTTCCCTACATGGTCCCTGATATACTTCCTTCACATGTTCTCACAAATATTCCTCATGTTTATATTTGCACACGCTTGTTAATCTGGAAATTCAAAACTTTAAATTGAAGGTGTTTTTTTTTTTTTATTACATCTGTGTTATTAATGTAGTGCCTTTCCTGCTTGATGAAAGAGAAGTTTTTAATAGCTCAAGGAACTGAAGGAGTGAAACCCCCAAAAGTTAACAGAGGGTGACTTTCAGTATTTGTGGCAGTCAGTATTATGGAGTGACTGAACTGTCAAACCATGTAATAAAACGACGAAAAAAGTCACATTTTGTAGACCTTCGTGAGAAAACTTAACTTTGTTTCTTATAGCAGCACAAAAGATAGTTTTTAATGCTCTAGGGTACATTGTTTCCGAGTTATGCAAGATGGTGAAGTGTGTTGCGAGTTGCATGTGCACCTGAATCCAAATCTGCCAAGTGTGGATGTCTAAAATTTTGTCTTAAATCTCTTCAATGCACCCCTGGTGACCAAGTAGTTAATTTTTTTATGAATGAATGGCCTCCTAGAGCAATTAGACAAAATTTCTTAGCGTATTCAAATTTTTATTAATCAAATTGCTATTGTTTCAAGGCAGAAACTGACTTCTTCAGAGCTTGTTATAGATGAATATGTTCTTGAAGTTTTATGACTTAATGTGGGGATATATTCATAAAAAAATGTTATCTTTATCGTTATATATGGTTCATAACTAATTGCTATGCAAAACATGTGAATTGGGGAAGGTTTCAAAATTGAAGCTTGATGACTAGGGAATACTTAATATTTGCATGTAAAGCCACCATGCTCATACATATGATTTTTTTATTTATTGGAAGACCAAAACAATATAAATCATATGGGTTTCTCGCTTGTATGGGCTTCTCATGTAGTTAAAACAAAGTATTGTAATGCTTCAGGCAGCAAATTTCCAGCGGTAAAACTTGATTTGTGGGACCCTGATATCGAAGTAGATGAAAGGTCATTCCTAAAAGTAATATATTACTTCCTCTAACTCGTGTATTCAGAGTTCACATTTTGTGTGTCGAGAAATTGGTTTACGCAAAATGACTGTTCATCTACACTTGTGGCTAAACTGTTCGATTTTCCAAAAAATTTTATATTCTCCAATTAATCCAACCGAAATTGAAACATATTTTGATTTTTAGGTATACTTTACACAGTCTTAACATTTACAAAATTATTTCCAATAAGACTCCTAAGGTTTTGATGAAAAATGTTTTTGATGTCTTTCTTAAATATATAATAATAATAATGTTATAAATAGTGATTTTTTCATAATAAAATCTGTTTTTCAAAGACGTCTTTAAGTAAGGTCATATACAATTTTAAAAAAATAAGTGTTTGTATAAAAACAGCTTCAAATTTTTTTTTGGTGGATAGAGTAAAGAACGCTTAAAAATGGTGGATGTTCATTTTCATTGAACTCTGAATTTTTGAAAATTGCAAAAATTCAAAATAAGATGAGAAAGTACGTGCTCTTGAGCCCCACTAGTTTTGGTATATTGTGTCTCTATACTTGGCATTGCTATAACTTTTGTGGTTGAGTATTGTGTTAAGACTAAAAAAAAAAAACAATTCCTGATCAAACAACAAATTTGTAACTTACCATGTCATGGTCTATTCTTTTTATTCTAATATAACTGTACTAAGTTTCTCTTGGTTTGTAAAGAAAACATCACATTTCAATCCTTTTCATTTTTCATTTAATGGTTGATCTTCAAAAAACATGTTGATTATAATTTTTTAGTACGTTGTACTAAAGGTGTGGTTAGTACGTTAGTTTCCACAAATTTTGGTCAGTTACATTTTAGTTTGAAAGCCATTCATAGATTTTAATACCTCACAGTGAGATTGTCATTAATGTGATTTTTAGATAGGAGATTTGTGTTCTTTGTGTATTTTCACAATATATATATCATACATGAAAGCATGTGGATGTGATAAAAGGAAGTAGATTCAATAAAATCTTGAAATGGTATTCTACGAGTATCATCACTTCCATTCAAATTACTTTCTGAAAATGTTGTTACACTTTAAGTTCAGTTGTCTGTGTGTATTTGGCATTTTAGGGTGAGATAAATCTGATTTTTGGAAGATAGCGGTATTGCTAGGTGTGAGCTCTTGTTTTTATTTATTATCGTTTGAATGTGGCGGAGACACATGGTGAGCCTGACGTATTTTCATCACCATACCTAGCTTTCTTGGCCTGCCTAAGCTTTTCCTTTCATCAATGGCGGCGATGGTATAACAGTTTTATGAGACTGTTATACCTAAGTATGCAGCTTCAAAACCAATCAAGGCCATGGATTTTTAAGGGCCAAAAAATCCTTTGGAGGTGAAAACCGGCTCTCCCATGTTAAATTTACTGCATGTAAAAGATTGTCAGGCGAGGAGCGCAGCAAAATTTGCATGTTCAGACGGAAGAGCAGGTCTCATGGCCTGCGTCATGCCACATAAAATAAAGTATTAATTCATCACAACTGTAGACACTGAGACAATTTGTCTTAGAGAGCTACAGCTTCATTTTTGCCCCAGCAAGTAATCGAACTTGGGTCTGCCTCTCAGAAAGCTAGCACACTGTTTATTATCCACCCAAGGGGCTAAGTTCAGAATACATTCAGAATTTTTTTTAGTTTTAGAGACAAGAAAAAATTATTGATGTAGATTTTTTTTTAATTTTATTTTTTTCCCCTTTATGTTATTTAGATATACTCCACAGTGGTCTGAAATAATTTGGAGGTTAACGGAGAAGGCTTAGACCAAAATTCTATATACAAATAATTTGTTTTGTTCTCAGATGAGACTATTTTGTTAAAATGTATATTTTAAAGTTAAATATATGTTTTAACTTTTCTGCATATTGTTTAATGTAACGAGAGTTAGTTTCATAATAAATAAAATGATGGGGTCATTAGTACTAATTTTGTTGAGTATCTTACTGATAGTGTACAAGAAGAAAAAAGTTCTTGTTGAGCGTTACTGTTTATCAAAAGATTAGACTTTCATCCAGATACGTTTTTCAATGATTTTAAGAACCATCGAAGGTCTAAAAACTACTTTGAGACTTCTGCAGAAATCTTGTAAACTCATTTAAACAATAACATCATTCATTGCATGCTGTTCTTAGGGTAAAGATGGATGTCAAACTCTTAACTCAGAAGAAGGAAAATTGAACGAATCAGCTGATACACAAATTAATTTTGGTCAGGACAATTTTGTAAGCCTAGAAGCATTAGTCACCACTTAGTCTCTTATTTAAAATCAGATAAGATTGATTTAAAATCAGATGTCCAGTAAATAAACTCAGTTTAACAAATAATAAACAGTTTTCAGAAAACTTTTAGAAAGGTTTTGGGTCTGAGACTTGTGTCAACAAAAAAGCAGTGAATGTGAATAAATCACTTTTAATTTTTGCATTTCTCCCATGTTTTTATGATACTTCCATGTCTATCTTAAGAATTTATGTGCATGCGGGCCCTATTTATTAGTTCTTTTATGCAAACAGTTGAATGAACAAAGACAAT